ACAATCCTGCCTCAGCCTTCCAAGTGCTGAGATTATAGGCACATGCTACTTGGGTTAACTTTTTGAACAGTGCAATAAACATTCTATCTATATATCTACACTTGCACACAAAAACTTCTATCTGTAGGATGGACTCCTAACAATAAGACTGTTAGGTCTTCTTTTATCTTTCTTTCTTTCTTTTTTTTTTGGCTTTTGACAAGGTCTCCCCATGCAGTTCGGGCTGTCTTGAACTCACCGCAACCCTCCTGCACCAGCCTCCTGAGTGCTGGGATTACAAGCATGCACTGCCACACGCAGCCTTGCATATTTTAAGTTTTAAATAATTCTTAATAACCTCCCAAAAAAAGTCATCACAATTTGCACACCTACCAGCAATCTTTGAAAGAGTTCATTTTACCTTACCACTGATAACTTACTTCATTTTTGCTGATCATCGAAGAGAAAGTATTTAATATTTTAATATGTATTTCTCAGGATATCATGTCTGCATCTTGTACTATGAATAACTACTACGAAGACAACAGTATGCAATGTATTAATTATTGTACCTGTCCTACTAACCTATTTTGAAACTGTCTCAATGCTATTTCTCAATAAAATTAATTAAAAAATGTGTATTTCCTTAAATTTATGGTTTTTAATGGTTTGTCTCAAACTAGGACAAACATTCAGTGAAAACCAGAGTGTTCTGTTTGTCACTGAGCCTCCACAGGCACTCCAAAGATACGTTCAGAAGAAATGAGTAAGTACCAGTGAGACTGAACTGCTCTACAAATACATATAAACCTGCTTTTCTTCTTCTGTAAGTTACTGCTTAAAACTGTAGTGGGAAAATAACACTCTTGCCTAAGGTGTTCATGCGCTAATTCACATATAATACCACCTTCCATGGCAAATGAGACTGAGCAAGTGACTACGGTAAGAACTGACTGAGGTCACTACCTGAAAGTCCTTAAAAATGGAGAACCATGCCCAGTTGTGATCAGAGAACCCATGACTAGGGAATAAAGATCTACCGGTAGACAACAATGTTGCTGGCTTTACAGATGGAGGACAGGGCCTTAAACCAAGGAACGCAGGCAGCTTTGATGAGCTAAAAGCAAAAGAACTGATTACCCTCTAGAACCTGCAGAAAGGCACACAGCTCTTCCAATACCTTGATTTTAGTCCAGTGATACTCATAAGATTCCTGACCTACGGAACTGTAAAATAATAAATTTGCAATGTTTAAGTCACTAAAGCCATGGTATTTTTATAGGAGCAATAGGAAACTAACTCAGTCACTTTTTTTTTTTTTTTCCTTCTGCATGTAGGACAGGGTTTCACTACATAGATCGGACTCATACTGATTCTCCTGTTTTCAGCCTCCCAAGTGCTGAAAACACCACCATGCCCAGTCTCAATCACAGTGTCAGCAAGCCCCATGGATGGGGCCAGCACAGCACGCTGGGACTGAACCCCCGGCCACTGTGCTCTGCCTAAGCAGGTTCTTTAGTCTGTTGAGCTATCAGGCCAGACCTTCTTTTGGTTTTAAGTGGTACTGGTTACTGAACCCAGGACCTTGCGCATGCTGAGCAGTCACATGACACTTGAGGTTTTGTAAGTCATCTTGTATTTGCTTTATTTTTTATTCATTTTAATGAGAAAAAAAGATAAAATAGCAATCAAACAGTTTCAAAATAGGTTAGTAAGACAATTACAATAATTTTTTTTGCGGATCCAGGGATTGAACTCAGGCCCTTTTATTCTAACTGAGCCATTTCCCCGGCCCCTATTTACAATAATTAATACATTGTATATTTCGTATTTGTTTTCTGAGACAGGGTCTTTGTTATGTAGTTCTAGTTGGCCTTGTGCTTACTTTTGTAGCCCCTAGGCTGGTCTCAAACTTGCACTGATCCTCCTGCCTCAACTTCCCAAGTGCTAGGATTACAGGTGTGCACTACCACTCCCAGTTCCATGCTGTGGCATGAGGGGCTGGGGATCAAATTCTGGTCCTTGTGCTTGCCAGGTTTGTGTATATGCATCTGAGCTATCTCCCCAGCCTCTCTATTTTCTTTCCTTTTTATGTATTTGACTCCTAGTGATCCTGTTTTCAGCCTCCCCAGCACTGGGATTACAGGGGTGTGCCACCATGCCCAGTCTCAGTGACTGAGATATAGGCACACCCGGGGCGAGGTGAACCCAGGTCCCTGCGCTTGCCTAAGCAGGCCCTCAGTCCACTGAGCTATCTCACTGGCCCTTCCCATTTTCTTTTAATTTAAATTTTTTCTAGTTTTTCATGTAAATTCTGGGGGGTTTTTTGTTTGTTTGTTTGTTTTTTTGTTTTTTTTTTTTGGTACTAGGAAACAAACTCGGGGCCTAGAGCTTGCCAGGCAGGTGCTCTGCCTCTAAACTACATCCTCACCACTGCCGTTGAGGAGCTCGGCCACCAGGCCCTCCATCCAGTGCAAACACAGGTCGCCCAATGAGAGACTGTTCCAGCAGAGCCCAGTAAAGACCCCCATCCCCATGTCCTTCCAGCCGGTGCCTGGGGATGTCCTCCTAGAGGCTCTGGACACCTCCCATGGCACCTCCATCTGACCGCACCGCCTGCCCGCCACCCACCCACTCACCCACCCACCCGACCCACCCAACCAGTAGAGCTTCTTAATACGAGAAAACAACAACACAGCTGACACATACATACATATGCACACATGCACACACACACATAGAGACTATTTCATTTTCTTGTACATATGTGTAAATAATGACAGAATGGAGTGGGGTAAAAGCGTATTTTGAATCTTCGCAATTTTTGAAGTCAGTAAAAAAACCCACAAAAAACTGTATGAATGACTTTGTAAATTTTGTTCTACATGAATAAAAAGGCAAACTTGTGATCAAAAATAAAAAATAAACTACATCCCCAGCCCTTAATAAAGATTTTTTTTAAGCTACTATGACTTATGATAGGACACTACATGTATGTTTTTCACAGACATCTTTTTCTCTCTGAACAACAAAAGTAAGTAGAGCTTGGGCAAGATAACCTTAAAATGTCTTTTATTCTTAAAATCCTATGAAAACCATTAAAAAAGTAAATACTGCTTTTCTTTTTCTGCTGATTTG